CCAGACTGAGATAGCAAGCTGGATCTTGATACTTTACACTGAGGAGATTTACATATTCAAATGTTTTCATCACTTTTTTCAATACTGACTGTACTACAGAATGGCTGCACTGGAAGCAATGCTCACACTATTGACTCATGAGAAGTCTGGCACTCTTTACTCTGTATCACAGTCCCAAAGACCAGCTTTCTTGTTTAACACCTCATCCATGCACAGAAGCCACTTGGAAAAAAACCGTGATTACAGCATTTGTTCCCACCACAGAATGGCCTAATGCTTTATTTGTGGAAAAACTCCAGCAACTTCCTGGTCCTGTGAATCTTGAAGGATAAAAAAGGAGTACTTCTTATGTAAAAGGTATGAAGCTGAGGACAGCACTGAGAAAGTAACCTCCATGAGCAAGAACTCAGCCACATAGCTTTACAAAGCCCAGCAACATTTATTAAATTTAGAAGCCTTCTTTCTAAATACACTATATCCTTTAAAAACTCGATCTAGGGGGGATCACGAGAGATAGAGCACAGTGAGAGCAGAGAGACTGCTGCCTGGTACAATTCAGAAGCAATAGTGAACACACTGAAGAGTAGTTTGCTCTTCAAGCAATTTTCATTTGCTTCTTTATCAGTCATTTTTAGATAGTGTACAGTTTGAAAATGAGAGCAGTGCTAATCTGACAAGATACATGCATTTGCTAGAACTGATCTACCAACTTGTGGCATTTGCCGATTTGGTGTCCCAGCTCTCTACTGCCTGATTTTTTTTCCTTTTCTGGAAATGATGATCATAGAATCATAGAATCACAAGGTTGGAAAGGACCTATACATAAGCTAGACAGTACCTCATATTTTGGCCCGCACAACAGCAGTGAGGAATAAGCTTCGTAAACAAGACAGGGTAATAATTCACTTGCTTGAAGGCAAGACATATGAGTACTCTAAAACAACAGATTGAAATCCCAGAACTAAAATCAAGTTGGAGCTCAGGTGATTTGGAATGAACCCAAAGAAACAGAAGGTATAAACTAAACAGGACGGAAAATGCATCCAAACCAACAGGTTGCTGCTTGCAATTATTCGTGAAACAACAAAACCCACCTGCAGCCATCTCCAACCAACCTGGGATCAATTAAGACAGTAACCCAGCTTTCATGATTCAAGGATCTTTTCAGATAAGTCATAAAAGTTGCAAGAGAACAAGAAAAAAAAAAAATCACTGATGTGGTTGCTGATATACTACAAATCTAAATCTGATGGTCTAAAGAACTGTGAGCTCACTTACCTCAAGATAAGCCACCACTATTCAGTTTATATGATCTTGTTGAACACAGTATATTCAGGAGTAAACCAAGGGGGTTTTTTTTGCACTGACAGCACTGATGTTTTTGAAGAGAAACACAAAACAACATCAAAATGTAATAACCCCTGGTACTCTAATCAGAAAAAAAAAAAGTCCTCAACATTATCAGAGATAATTCATAGATACTAAAACCATTTTGATCAAATGAAAATGAAACACCCCAAAAAAGTAATAGTTCTGATCCAGATCACTCTGTATGAACTGGAGATAAGGGTCCAACAGACTGCTATGAATAACAGTCCTCCCAACTACAAAATGCAAATCATGATGCACTGCAAAGACAGTGTTAAGTCTCCATCAAACTCAATCTTGAACAGCTGTATTCATACTTGCACAGATTAAGGTTAAGACATCAGATCAGCTTTATTTTGGGCACTAGCTGTGCCAACGTGAAACCCTCTATGCATAGCCTTAGCTGCCACAGCTTCTCTAGCCCCTCTGGCCAGGACAGTATCAGCACTCTGATGAAGGATGCTGATACATATGGAAGGCCTGATGAGTTTCCAAACAACCTCATTGTTTGGAATGAGAAATTAATTTCAGTAGCCAACAAACTCTTGAGCTTTCAACCCCTTGAAACAAGCTTCTTAGTAGGAGAGAAGCACCGACAACTGTTCATCAGAGCAACATACCATGATGCACACTCTCGTTCACTCCTCTACCAAAGAGAGTAAGTGCTTTGAGGATCTAGTACAACAAGATGTAAAAAAAAAAACACAGGACCACATAGCAGTTTCAATAAGAACAAAATACTTGGCAAGCATATGAACAGAACTCTGTGTGGCAAACTCTGAAGATCTCAAGCCCTTGCACACAGAGATGCACCTTGAGACCCACCATGAAGATGCCTTCTGAAAAATCTCATCTGTCTCCGTAACAACAGCTACATAACAAATGCACACATTGGCAGAAAAACTCAAATTTTACAGCAGAAACCATCCACTCAGGAGGTCTCCTGGGTATAAACATAGACACATTCTTAAAGAGAAGCATTTCTTATGCTTACAGCATACAATGGAATCTGTAGTCCTCTACTCCTCACAGAAAAGCCTAGAAATAGTACCTTCTCTTCTGCATAGGGTAATGAGTTCTTAGCTGTAAATCATATTAACAGTTATGATAATCCAATTAACTCTTGTCACACAAATATAGTTGAGAATGATTCCTTGACCTCCACAGAAATCTGCTCAGCCGCTGCTAACCACTTTTAGAAACAACAGAAAGGTTACTTATAAGTAGTTGAACTTAAAAACCTCTGTACATAAGAAGGAAGAACATCTTTTGGCATTGAAAATATGAAGCATGGGTATGTTTTTTTGGGGTAGGGGGAAAATTTTAGCCCAGAAAGGGCTAAGATCCTGGGAAGTTGGGGATGACTCTTAAAACTAAAAGATGGGGATGAATGCTGGGAATGCTCTGGGACCACAGCTTGTAACGCCTTAGGCTGCAAGCAACTATATAGGTGCTGACATGACTTTCTACATGATCCTCCCAGATCATCATTGACTTCAATACTGTGCACACTTTTTTCACCAGGTGGATGTGGAATTTTCACATCTCAGAGTCCTGAAACACTTATATAAAATTCAAGTTGGTTGTCCTTGTCATGAGGCCAATTGAGCATCCTCTCAGTTCAGAAAAATGCCTTTTTCACTATGACAAAGCAGGGAGAACTGAAAAAGCATTGCAGTACATACATTGATCTGGTTTTAACAACACAGAAGGGAATTTTTCACTTTGTGACAGCCATCTAGTACACAGAGCAACAGAAGCAAAACAAAACTTTGTATCTGAAGACAGCAGAAGAATTTCAGAAGAAAACATTACTGTTTATTAAAACAGTATAATAACAGTATATAACAATAATGTTTATTAAAACAGCTGAAAGGTCAAGTTCTGAATCATTCATTCAAACTACGAATCTGTCAGGTTTTAAGGAGGCTCTCACTGATCTGGAATTAGGAGAACATCTAACAGATTCAGAAGGTACACACAAAACAAATATCAGTTCTTAGGCCAAGCAACTATATCAAGTGATTCTGAAAGATGGATGGAACCATTTACCCCCTACTAACCATTCAGTGAGCTAAAGAAAAACTAGATTGCTGATACCACTGGAAGATCAACTATTGTACCAGCACTGGAGAAGACAAGTCACAGCCTGGACTGAAGGACTATGAACTGTTATTGGCCGCGAAAGACCAAGCAGATGTGTAATGAGTACTGACAGTCATAAGATCAGTACAGTATCACAGAAGATTTGAAGCACTCCCTCCCAAATATCTCAGCCTGTCTGATTTAGAAGATCAATATCTGAAAATTTAAGATTTGTACTGAGTCCAAATCCTACTTGACAAAAAAAATGGACAAATAAAAAAATCACAGGTGAGCTAAGGAACTGTGTTAAATATACAGATCCTGCCTCACTGTGCAAAAGCACTGAAGAAATGGCCTCAGCTGAATCCTACCCACGTATAGTAAGAGCTAATACATCAAATCCTTACCAATCTTTCCAATGATTAGTGGGATAAAAATCTCAGAGCAGTGTGATTTTTTGATGCATATAAAAAGGAAATATGCAGAAAGTATCTCTAGATACTGTCAGATATATGAAAGACAGTTACGTGTCTATTTATGGACAAGGAAAGATTAAAAAAAGAAAAAAAAGAAAAAGAAAAAAGGAAATAAGACATTCCCAGGAAAAAGCATTAGGATTTTTTAAATTTGCAATAAATTAATTGTCTTCACCACTAAAAAAATATAAAATATTCTCTTTTATTTTGTATCTTAATTAATTCTTCCAAGAGCATTATTTCAAGTGAAATTAACACTTCTTTTCTAACTAGATCAGCACTCTGTTGCTGCCTGATCAGCAATGGTGATGCTCCACATGAACAAAAAAATTACCTTTCAGACTAAAAGTAGTTGCAAACAGTTCATATACATGACTTTTTGTTGAACTGTCTCATCTGAGCTCTAACCTGTACATCTCCCTTCAATGAAGATGACAACACACTTATAGATCCTTTAACCTCCTGCAAGAAGAATCAATGAGACTCACCATCCTTCAGTATGTGTGTGAAGAAGTTCTAATTTCTGCATTGCTCTCGCTATAAATGACAGGTTTTCAATTTACTGTTACCATTCAAAAATCTGATAAAATCTGTCAAATTCCAGTAGTCATCTCATAAGCTCTTGTTGTCTCAGGGAAGTTAGCACTATGCATGACTAAGAACGTACAGGATTTAGAAGTTTATTACAGAAAACAGTGACATCAAGTTACGACACACAGTACCACCTTCCATAAGTTTGTGCAAAATTAAAAAATAAATTCTCTAAAAATACTGCCAGATTCATTTGATTTTTTTCTTAACCACAATGAAATAAAATGAAGTAAAACAAAATTCTGTACTGCACTCATTATAGTAATAAACCAATCCATAATATTAAACAACAGAAGGTGATGAGAACAGTCAGCACATCAGTGGAAACACTGGAACAAGACAAGATTCTGGCTCAGATCCTTCCTAAGAGATATTTAACATACATATTGACAATTTACGTGTAGTATTCCTACATCAGTACAAACTAAAATTAAAAAACAATGCCTCATTAAAGAGAGCTCCAAACAAATTAAATCTCACCTGAGTTACTCCACTGGGAGGAACCTTGTACGACTGTAGCTTCTGCTTCAGTAGCTCAGGATCGCTGTGGCGGAATGGGCATCCTGACAGCAAAACAAGCAAGCTCACAAACAAGGCTGTTTACCCAGAAGGGAGCATAGTAACACACTCAAGAGACCTAATTGTCTAACAGCATACTAATATACAAGTTAATTGTCCATATGTGCAATTATTTTTTTCTTTAACTTTTTTTTTAATAATAATTACTCCACTGCATTGTCACCAGTACACCAGAGGCCCAAGAGTTACATGAAATATCCTAATATAAACAGGCCACAGTTGTCACTCACTGACAGGAAAGGAGACTTAGTTAGTACCTTACTTACAGTGATAGCACCGGTACATTTAATATCTGTGAAAAACCAGGAAGAAACAAGTAGTAAGAGTTAACTAGTCTTTAAAGCATAGCCCTTTGTAAAAATATTAGTTTTGAAAGTTCCAGCCTTTGAATAAGGGTTGCTTTTCTTGTGTCCCAGAATTAATCTTGTGAGAAAACTAAAGGAAACAACCTTCAGAACCATCTCAGGGGTTTTGTAGAAAAGGGTAGATGTGGCACTGAGAAAAATAGTTTAGCAGGCATGGTGGTGATGGGTTGATTTTTGGACTAAATGGCGTTAGTAGTCTATCCAACCTTAACAATTCTATGACTGTGTTAACTAGCACTAGAGTTACAACAGTAAGGCTGGTGCACATTTCTCTCACTAAATCACACAGGGGTAGGAGGTTTTAAACTACTGCAGCAAATGTAGGAACTCATGTTTGATTTAATTCATATCTCAGAGCCCCTATAAGTGTTCACACTCTGTATGTGTACACAATACATACAGAGCTAGAAGCCACCAAGCGTGATCTAAAAAGAATATTGCAAGACCACTGTAAGCTTGAAATTAAAAACGTAACTTAAAAGACTACAGGGGTGAGTAACGTGACAGACACTGTAGAAAAAAATCCTTCAGATAATTTCTCAGTATAAAACTAATACTTGTGAAAATATGATCCTAATCTGAAGTGAGAATTTTAAGAAGACCAAAACACAATTTTTGTTTGAGTAAGGAAACTAGTTTCATAAAACAGGCTTTGCAAATAAGTTCGGTATAAAAGATAATGCTCAAACACTATGCATGCCACATAGTCACTATTTTGACCTCTGTTCAGCATTACACATCATTGCAAAACAAACTGCTGAAATATTTATTTCTTTTTTAATATTGAAAAAGCATTGTAAACTCAGATCTTGTTAAGTTTCTCTTTGCAGTATCTATCTTGTCTAGGTTACATACGTGTAAGCCATGACTTCCACAGTGATAACTTAAACACTGCAGTCCCCAGTAGATACACACATCAATACTTGGTCATTTATAAATTTACATTTTACTACAATTAGAAATAAAGAATACAGAAGAGTCCTGAACGTCCTAAACTTCTGAAAAGCAAATGAGTTAATATTAGTAGAGTAAGTTTGCCATGCTGAAAGCACAGATTGAAAGGATTGCAACTTTTTTTTTTTTTTTTTTTTTTAAACACACAATGTGGAAAGAAGGGGAGGGAAGGAAAAAGAACCAAAGTTGAGTACAAAATTGAACTTTACTTGCTGAATGATACCAGTTAAGAAAGACTAATCACAAGAAGAGTAGCAGAGAACAGCAGCGGCTACCTTAATTAGTAGTCAAACTAACTAACTTCCACTTAAAATCAAATGCAATCTCCATGGTTCTCTTCTTTAGCCAAGGGCTTCCAATATTTTTGAACCTGTTGGTTTTAGGAACTCACCATGGTAATCCCCTTGACTTGGTGGATTGGACATGATAATCTTCATGCAGCTGTATGGGGTATAGTCTGTTCTCTTTCCTTCTTTCCCATAGTTGTGGCGAATGCTGTACGCGTATCCTTTGTCAAACTGAAACAACAAAAGAATATATTTTCATATACCATATCAAGTCATTATTCTGTCTACTCTGCCAACAGAAACATTGGATTATAAAGCAAATCTTGCAGACCTACTCAAATTTAGAGAAATGGAATTGCTTTCTGTTAGTTTTGATTTTCACATTATAAGGAGTTGTAAGTATCTGTATGCACGTTTTATATACACATAAGAAGAGAACTAAAAATTAAGACCTTTTAAGCAGATGAAGGAATCAATAAAGTTAAGATGATTTAAAGATCAAAACTGTGAACTGTATGATGTTAGTAAATGGAGAAGACATTGTAATACTAAACCTTTCATAAGCGTCCACAAATCAATGGCTTTATCAGGGAAAAGCCAAAATTACAGACTTCTTGACTGAGGTTCACATTTTTGTTCTCCTAAAGCATAACGGTTCTCCTACACTTTGCTTCAGCACTGAAATTCACTGTTTTTGGTCTAAAATTGAGTATTTTTGCTTGAAAACTGTACAATTTTAGCAAATCCCTTTTGTCTAACAACAGAGTGTCAGCTCCCACCAACTCCGCCAATAAAATTAAGAAAGAAACTAAAATAGGCATAAACAAGTTACGTCCTGTGAATAAGGACTTAGCTAAAATGATTTCAAGTTATTTTAGATGTAGCCATTCAAGCACACAACTGGTCACGTCCACCAGTTCAAAATTACCTCTATTTCTACACATAAAATTAATCGCCTGCTAAATAATTCAGAATATTCAGACGACTGTGAAATATCTTAACCTGCTAAAATTCATTCAAAATATAACAGAAGTATGCTTTTTTTAATCTAACCTTTGAAAAATTTAATTACATATATAACTCAAAACCTACAACACAATAAGCAAATACATAAAATGTTTAAATAAACTTTTGAAAATAAACATTGAAGCATACACTGCATCTGTCTAGATGGATAAAAAAGGAACTTCTTTATCAAGATGCTGTCACAATCAAGTTAATTGTGTTTCCCAGCACAGCCAAGACAGGATGTAGCATACAGGGATAACCTATCTAGTAAATCCTATTAAGCAGGGGGGAAAAAAAAATAGCACATCTGTTTGCTTGCAAAGGAGAGCTGAGTTTATCAACAGCATTAACTAAGGACAAGGAGGAAGACCGTACAAGGATCTTCCTTCAGGAAAGGCAGGTAAAAGAGGTATCATCCTGCAGTGACGCAAGCAGCAGCTGTAGGCTGAGAGTTGCTGCTGCAGGGGCTGCAAAATATAAACACAGCCTTTGCAGCTGTCAACTGTAGAGAAGCTTAATACAGCAAAAATCAATAGTTCTGTGCACTACAGCAACAGATAGCATTATAATAGTGAAAACGTGATATTAGTAACTTTTGTGCAAATCCATTAAGTTACGTGTGAAGCCCGTGAACATACAGCCACAAATTCTTACAACCAGAAGCTCTGGAACCTTTCTTCCTTCTTCACAAAAAAATGGATGAATGCATATTTCATTTGATTAATGAAGGATATATGTGTAAGCAAGTCAAAGTAGATAGTTCTTTATAAGGGAAAACCAAATCTTCACTGCTTTAGTTTGCAAAACAATAAATACAGCCCTCTGACAGTGCTGCATACTAGAAACCTGAACTATGCTTTTCTTATCACTTGTCTTAATGCCCCACAGAAACTGTTACTACCCAAAATGATTTTATGCTGAGATGTGAATTTTGTAGTAACAGCTGCAGGGTAACACAACATGGCCTTGGGACAAGTTGGGTATCTTCATACTGCTTTCTTTACAGACCTCTTTGGATCTTTTGAAGCCATTTCCAATCAGTTCCACTTTGTTTCACTCAAACGTTCTTTAAGCCAAACTTATTTTAATTCTTCCTTTTAGTAAGACTACAATAGAACAGTATTGTGAGAGCTAAAACACATAAATACAAATAGCTGCTGCATGTGAACCTAAAATTCTAAGATATCAGAAGACATCATCTACATACTTGGGTGAGAATCTCTTAAACTGCACTGAACAGAGAAGCCTTAAAAGCTTAAAAAATTGGAACAACTTTATAAATCTGATTTTACTCTAGCATGTAATTATAACTACTTTATTCTTTTATATAACAGAAATACTAGCACTAAGGAATGGAGGAAAAAATTGCAGAGAGGCTTTTTTGCTTGCTTGTTTTGCAATAGTGGCCATTCTTCTGAAATCGATACTATCAGGATTAGGGGCTGGTCATGGCAATCTGTTGAAATTACCATGAGCTGCCTATAACAAATATTGTTCTAGAATTATTTTTTAAATTCAGAAAACACATACACAGTATCTTTGTGGCTACTTGGCAGAATTAATGCTGTCCCCTGTAAGCACTGCACTACCCAATCCGTATTTTCTATGTTGCACTTTGGGAATTGAGCATAAACTCCCCAGCAGTCACTTTCAAAACGCAGACTCCACACTGCAGAGCCTTCACATGCAAACTATTCATTTCTCTCAAAGAAAAAGAATATGTCTAACAGCAAAGGTTAGCAAAATTTACATCTGTAAGAGAAAGTATTTCATAATGACTAATATTTGCACAGCTGGGCACCTGCTTCTTCAAGTTTTCAACTTCTTGGAATCTTCACAGCAGCAGACGGAAGAAGTGGTACAAGTCAGTGTGTGCACATTTAGACAGTTTCACCTCCTGACCTTCTGATTCTGTTTCTTATTGTTGATCATGGAAACAGAGTTTTAGCCACACTGATTTCCAGCAGGCTGTGCAGTACTCCTTAATGGAAAGAAATCATGAATTGAGGAATTTCATTTCAGAAAGCACATCCTGAGGAGCAGCCCTGTGTACTGGGGGATGAACTCAATGACCAGAAAAGCTCTTTCCTAATACTGTTGCTCTAAGGTATGCACAAAGAAAAATCACCCCCAGAAGCAATTTCCGCCAGTGAATATACACATATGTATGAGTGCAGATATAACTAGATATGTTTGAAATCTAGACATAGGGAATTGTCCCTTCCCTTCATTCCAACTTTCCCCGTAGATGTAGTATGATTCCCCCACCTACTTAAACAAGAAATTGTACGCAGAACATATCATGCATGTCAGTGTTCGCAGGGTTGTTCTAATTGCTCATAAATTACTTGCTTTTAAATTATTCCAGAAAACAACATTTCAAAACTATAAAATGCCTATTACAGTATAGACCAACTACTACATGCCACAAGATTATTATGGCAGAAAACTATAAAAAGTGACTTTCCACCAAGACAAGCAAAAAATAATCAGGCAAAAAGCAATTCTATTAATGCAGAAAAGCTAACTATGTATATACATCCACCACAGCCTGCTTTGGCACTGATTGAAAGTTATTGCTAACGTTGCAATATAATAGCAGTCCTAAAGGAACATCCTCATATTATTGAGTAACTACCTACACTAGATCACCTATTGCTAGTAATAGTTTAGAACAGTGATTTTTTGCAACTTTAAAAAATATGGCCTCAACTACCTAAATTGTTTTTCCTCTGACCAGCTCTCAGAACTTTCCAATATCTGCCAGGAATTTGTAACTTATGTCCAAGTGTGGGGTTGATGACTAATGGCTTTAATGAGAGAAAGGGATCAAGAAATAGCTCTGATTTAAGCAGTGAACCATTCAACCAAAAGTCAAGAAGCTGAGAACACTACCCTCCATCAAGTCTGTCAATTTAGTGCTGGCATGTGCAAATCTAAGAATCTAAGCACCTACTTTTTTTTTTTTTTTTTTTTTTTAATTTTAAAAGAGTGCAAGTAAATGGCCTGATCTCTAACTCGTTCCCTGATGACAAAAAATTTTGAGGACTTTCCTTTCCTCTGGACATAGCTGTAGGATACACATGATGTCTGTACTGAGATACTTCACAGAAAAAATGTAAGTAGGCAGTTTTGCAGGTTACTATGTTCCGGACAAGAATTTACAGAAGTGATATTTTCAGAAGAGCTTGATTACATAAATATGAGATCTTTGGGTAGGTGAATTCAAAGTAGTAATGGTGTTAAATTATTATTTCTGTAACTCAATCAGAAATAAGAAAATTTGCTACAGATGTAGCTTAATTGGGATCAAAGTAATTCTGGACACTTTTTGCTCGTGAGGGGAGAAAGGCGGTAAAAGAGAACAGCTGGAAGGGGAAAGGGAAAAAGGGAAGTTGAAAGGGCTGTCAAATGTGATCAGTGCTTTTCAGTGGTCTCTGTAAATCAGCCTTGTGCCTGTAGCTTGTAGCAGGAACAGTTTGTTTCCACTGTACTCCTCTAATCTGCCTCCAAGGTCAGCAGGTTTCTGGCAAGTTTTCCCTGCCATCAGTGAGGATTCTCTGGGATCCTTACTAACACCAAAAGGGAATGGAAGGAGGGCACCATCTAACAGCCCTGTCCTTCCCCTACCACCTTGAACAATGATGTTCCTTTAAGAGGCCTGTGATCTCAGAATATCCAGCTCAATTTGGAGTTGTTGGGATGCTGCTAGTAAAGCTCTCAGTTTTTGTTTACTCTTAAAAAAAAAAAAATAGGCATCCAGAGATGCCATTCAGCTGTGGGGGGGAAACCACACACTTCCAGTATTCCATGATTTACAAGCACATCACTGACTCTTCTGTTGCTGTTGTTTCAAAGCATTTATTGCATTTCAATATTCAGAAATGTCAGCTGATGTAGTTTTTAAGTGTTTCTTTCAGCAGAAGTTAAGAAGTAAATTAACAGCACTGTTAACTTTATCAGAAGTGGTAGTCAGAGAATAACAGTATCCAACATGCTTAATTCAGTGATAACACTTCATGTTCTCTGCAAGAAATGTGAGAGTATTAACAGATTGCAAAGCAGACAAGAATTTGGCAGGTAGTACAATAACAAGGACTAAAAAAGTTAAACAGAAGTAGAATAGTAACAGATTTTGTGTGCATCTATAGGAATAAGATTCAGCTCCAGACATCTAAATTCAGACATCTCCCATTATTGTCAATGGAAGTCGATGCAATCAG